GACATTTGTGTTTGTTGCAGCCCTACATACTATTTTGTTAAGGATTACTTTACTTTGGTTGTTATACAGTTGAGACATTCTGGGCTAAAGGAAATTATAGCATCCTTTTTCACTCTTTTCAAATATGTTATCAACTGTTGGACAGGGGGAAATTACCAGGTTAATTGGTAATGAAAACAGTCATTAGTTGCAGTCCTAGTGATGAACAAGACAGTTTATAGTTGTTTCAGCTGTGTTATCAGTTGACACGTACTGTATGTAGATGCCAAGCTCTCTGCCATAAGGAGATATGATCAAGTCCAGTCAGGCTCATTTATCAGGTCCTATCAGACTAAAACACCATCTCATTCATGTTTCAACCACAATACACTAAAACATTATAAACATGCATTTAACACAGTTCAATTCTAACTGAATTAGTTCTAAGACAAAAAATAGCCTTAATTTTTATTATATATTTAATTTATTAACCAACCGAAACCCTTCAATAAACTTTTAGTCTCCCTTTAAAAACGATGACATCAAAAGCTAGTTCGCGCGCCTTGTTCACAAATGTTGTGTTTGTGTTTGTGTTGTGTCCTTTTTCCTTTAATGTGTCAAACCAATTGTTAGTTTAATTCGTCACGAATCAACACTAACATGTAGGTTAAGAAGAAACAGTACAGAAACAATTTGCTTTCAGACAGCCTTTGTCATTAAAACGTGATTCAAATATTATACAAACTAGCTAAATGTGTTCTTCCAGATGTTTGACAACATACCTGAACACCACTCTTAGTAACACAGCAACCTAGTTGGGATGCTGTAAATAGAAACCGCTGTAACATACCGCTGAGAGATGAGCTTCTTTGTCCAAATGCCTTTTTTATCTGTTGTGAAGTGAGGCCGAGTGTCCCCCGACAAACTAGTTCCTCCAACAAACTCTCACAATCAACATTAACGCTTCCAGGAGCTGCGTTACACACACACACTTGTGCTCATTCCTCTGTGTGCACAGTTGGACATATTACGCTCACATATGAACAGCTGTCAAACTACACACGACATCACAAACAACTTCTGTTTCCTGTTTCACAATAAAAGCACGCCAGGCGTTTTAACTATGTACTGTAGGCTACTGTACATGCTGTATATGTCTCGTCAGAAAATCCAAGTATCCTCAAAGAAAACATATTTTACAAACCAAAGCCTGCTCACTGGGCACGTGAAGCTTGTTGCATATGTGAAAAAATGATGCAGAGAAGGAAGAGACCTCATTTAAAATCCCACCATGGACCTATTAGGAGACACTGGGCCCCCTGGGCACACACCCACACCGTACATATGTGCAGGATCCCAGTAATGTATTTCTTCTTAATTTGCTTGTATTTTCAGTTACTCTATATCTCTATGGTTATTTTCGTCTGTTTTACTTGTTTTTGTCTGTGAGGTCCTTCATGTCCTTATGCTCATTTTGTGCTCATTTTGTTGTTGACCGATTTTCCCACAAGAAATTTTAGAAGTTTTGTTATGAATTTGTTTCTGTTCAGAGGGAGAAGTATCTTCTAAGAAGTCCACAGATTCCTTGAAGTCTTGATGCTTGTATATAGCATTATGCGTTACCAGAATGTTTTCCAAAAAAAGAAATCTGAAGGTGTGGAGTTACAAAGAAGTGAGATTATCAAACCTCCTCATTTCTGCTTGAAGCTAGAGGCTCAACATACAGCACAGTAGATTGAAACAGGTATATTAGTCACTATAGCAGCACAGCACAGCTGAATCTCTGACCAAACTGTTGGTGGTTGAGTTCCACTGTGGGAAATGTAGGTGGCAGCTTTTGATCAAGAAGAAAAATGTGCTGAATAAAACAGATTATACTGTATCTCTGGTTGTGATTCACTAGTTTCAATTTTAAAAACGTTACGAGTCTCACAATAGTATAGATATACAATGCTAACATAAAGATGCTGAATAATTACCAGTAAAACAGACAGAGCACTCCTCTGAAACTCCAGTGTCTAAGCAGCATTTTACTGTTGCAGCTAGTTGAATACTTTTACCTACTCCATATACTGTAGATTAAGAAATCTATATGTTCAGTGGTTGCTAACCTCCTCCAGAATAACTCTCAAAGATGATTATTCATTAATGATATGAAAGGTGATACAACATTGTTTCGTACGTCAATATTATGTTTTTGCTCCACTTTAATCATTCTGGAAATATTAGATATTTAAATTTTAGGTGTTTGGAAGGAAAATGTTTCTGACAGACATCTTCAAGTATCTTGTCAGAAATGTTAAACCTACAAAGTAACCTGTAAAGAATTCATGCACAGTGTGCTCTTCTTTTCTCCTGACCTTGAGTTTATGCTCAAAAGACTATGCAAATCTGCAGCAGCTCAATGTGGGAAGCCATCACTCACACAGTGCATGAAACAACCAAAGAATATAAAGTGAGGGCAGAGATAAAAAGGATGACACATCGAGTCTTCCCTCCACTCGTGCAGTTTTGTGTTCAGTTTGACTGCTGCAGATGTAGCTGATTGGCCAAAGTTGCCACAGTGCCTCCGCGCAAGGTGACCTACTCCTCCTTGATCACTAGACCACACAGTTTAATTTAGTTTACTTGAATTTAGTTGGATCTTGTTCGCATCTAGTGTTTCATGGTAATTTTATGAGACAATAAAAGAACATCAATTAAACAAATGGAAACAAAATTAACCCAATAAAACAACAAAGATGAACACATTAATGTGAACCAGTTAGTGAAGTGTGTGTTATAAAAACCAGTGATTACTGCACAGCAATCAAATTGATTACACTAAATACCAACGAAAATAAATCACAATGAACAACCATCAACAAAGTACAAAGCTGGTAAATAAAACAGGAAACTAAGTGCAGTCTCTGCTCTGTTGTAAAGAAAGACTTTGACATTTTGGGAAATGCTATATACAAAACTAAAATGTGAGGCAGGATAAGTATTTTCCAAAAATGTTAAAATATTATTGAATGTGTTTCTTCATTTATTTTTAAAATATATAAATACAAGTTAATTCTCTCATGCTATACCTCCACTTAGCAGAAGCTCACACACTGAGTAATGCATAAATTATTCTCAGTAATAAGTGTATTTGTTCTTAGAAATCTGTCTTAGAAGTCTGTTCTTTCTATCTTGTGTTTTGTCATTTCCCCCCATATTCCAATATGTCTCTTTTTTGTTGTTTTTGAGTTGTTCAAAAAACAGGCAATAGACAGCAGAGAAAGCAAATGGGCTAAAACATCTTTTACATGATCAATAAGTAGGCTCACATCTATCAAGAACTTTCTCAGATCCACCACATAAAATCTGGAGTAATAAAATCAAGGAATAAACTCAGTCCACTGTATAAAATGCAGATGAAGACCGATGCTCAGTAGATGAGCAGGCATATGTTTCAGTCAGGTGCAGGAGTGACATTGTGTCCAAAATCACTCCCTTGTTCACTCATTCATGGCTCCCCACAATCCCTCACTGTGGCATAGGGGTAGACTGCAGGACTGTCAGTTTGACCCCTGCTCCCCCCCGTCCATATGTCAAAGTGTCCTTGGGCAAGACGTTGAACCCCAAGTTACTTCTGGTGCACAGCATCGGTGTGTGAATGGGTGGCAAGTAACTATAAAGTGCTTTGTCTGGTAAGGTATATATGTACAGTCCAATTGAACTCTTATTAATTCAGATTTTGGGCACATCACAAGTTGTTATTACTGACACATACAGTATAGGGTTGCATGACTATTAGTGTGTGTAGAAAAAAGTGATACAAACATCACTGGAGAAACCTGCTTTTTTCATTGCGTTGTGGGACCGTTTGAGGGCACATTACAGTGGAACATCCACACACCCAGAGAAATGGGTTAGAGAAAATAGTGCACTATTTGCTAAATAGGGCAGAGCTGATCAGTAAACTGCATTTTAGCCACATTTACGTGTTGAATCTTTGTCTGACATACACCCTGATGAGCACCCTCAGAGTTAGTTTTGTCCACCTATTTCCTTCATACACACATACACACACTACAAAATGTTTGTTTCCTTTCTCCCTCTTCACTCTGTGGAATGAATACAAGAAAGAAGTACATCATATTTTAACACTTGAGCTTCTGCGTGAAGAGGTTTAGAAATACAACCCACACAGGTCAATTCAACAGCAGAGAAGCATCATCACTCTCACGCTGCTCAGCTGTGAACAGTACACCTCTGTTCCCTTCACTGACAGAGAGCACCATCTGGTAGAATGTGTCAAGAACACCAGGGAGCTCGAGTCTGTTCAGTGCAATCAGGAGCAAAGAAGACGAGTGAACCCTTTGCTCACTGCTGTCTCCATGGGTGGTCCGACTGACAGCCACATTTTAAGCTGTGAGATATGCTCCTCTATTCTGTACATCTATAAACACAGACTAACAGTTTTGTTTTCTACTCTCAGAGAAAAGGGGACCGGCAACAATTTCGAGGCTGAGACTGGGAGGTCATTTTTAAATAATGCAGCAGAATTCCCAGTCTCACAGTGGGTGAGAAAGCGAGTCACAGTAGGGAAACCATAACACATCGCTAGGATTTCTCTCAGCTTGGAATGATTGTGCCTTCTTCATGAGTAAAAACCTGCATCAGCTTTTTTACAGAAACTGCAGATCAGTTATAACTTGCAAAATTTATAACTATTTAAATACTAGCTAATAGTTATTCAACCTAAAATTCAACTGTAGACATGATGTTGAAAATGCCGTATGTCCAAACAGATTTGGTCTCCAAGATTACAAACTGTCTGAATAAGAACAAGGTTTGAAGAATGGCAGTAAGCTGCGCAACCATTCTCACAAAATCATAGATCATGTCATGCAGTCTGGCCCACACACTGAGAAACCATCATAAATGAAACAGTGACAAAACTTTAGATTTCTCTTTAAATGGTCACCTTTTGTACTATTAGGTCCAGTAAAGATTACAAAGCCCATTCCTGTGCTACATCCCTGTGCTGAATCATTCATCTTCTTCTCTCCTGATTGCGCTGAACAGATAGAGAAGATGCTGGTTCTGAAAGCACAGTGTGGTTTAACATGAAAACATGTGTGTCTGAACAATTTAAAGGTTTAATCTATATATTTATGACAGCAGTAGATTGAGGGACTAATATGACAAAGCAGCAGAAAAAAATTCACCAATTCATTTTTAGCATTTAGTGTCTTTTAGCGTGGTTTTACGGCCCATGGCTTACTGCTTTGACTCACTCTCTTATAAACATTCTATCCAAACACATGAAGCTGAAAAAAGCAAACAACCAAAAAACTCTGACAAACCCACTACACTACTTGCTCAGCACCAAACCAGAGTGGATTAAGAAGGAGAGTGACGACATTTCCATTAACTTTATAAGGACATTAGGAGCAGCTCCATAAAGTTACACTGAAATTAATAGCAATAATTATACTTGTGACATTTCAGTAACGTGTCAAAACACATTTTACAACCCTTTTGACTGTCTCTCTCAAATATTGGGTCACTTTAGATTGGGTACCTAGCTAACTAGCTAAATTAGCTGAACTATCCACTACAACAGGACACAACTAGTTTGCAAGGCTGTGCAAGTCATTAAAAACAGTAATTTGCTGATAAATCCCTGCAGAAAACAAGGGATCTGACCCACTACCTGTTTTGACCCCTCAATGTTGCAACTCTTCTGTCTTGAGGGCTCTGCACCAAAAGGCAAACAAAGAAAGTCAGCAGTTAACTTGTGAAGAAAGTACAGCACACAAACACAACTCCAAACAAACAATAGTGCTGCTTCCTAGTGTAACTGCTGGATGTATAAATAAACAGCTGTTCAACTTGAGATGATATCTCAATATTGTGTTTACAGCTTGTTGTGATGAAGCCAAACTGGACAGAATCATCCAAAACTGCACATTCACAGTCTCCTTCAGTTTTTATATCCACAGACTTGCACTTTTGACTTTTTTCAAACAAAAAAACATATTTTCTAACATAACTGTAAATGTTCATCTTTTGAACAAAT